TTTTCCAACCTCAATGATTCTATGACTCTGATTCTATATGTATATATACACATATATTTGTAGATATGTATAGATATAGATATATGTGTTTATATATATTAAAATTACCGATTGGCCACGTTATAGTTCTAAGAGAAACTTAAAATAATTTCCAGTGTCTTTTCAGATCTTACCATGTTTCTTACAGTTCTCTCCCGAAAAACAATACCTGTTAGATCAAAGGCGTATAGTATGCATATAGTAGTGTGTTTATAAACTGGTGACTGCGGTGACTATACAGGTACAGTGATGGATGACATTGCAGTGCTGAGGCAGTTGGTCTGCTCTATGGGACCCCAGTTATTTTTTTTGCTCTTATTTAAATCATAGGAATAACATCATAGGCACTTCAAAAGGAAAGATGTAAGCCAATGTAATCTTCTTTGTAACTCCACTAACAGCTGTTCACAGAAAGTTCATGCCGCTTCTCGTTTGAACACTTCAAGCAGTTGTTTTAAAGGAGAAAACCAAAAAACTTTCCAAAATGCATTGCTGCTCAAGTAACTTTTTCATCTAACCCACTACTGGTGGAAGTGAATAGCGGTGTATCGAGAGATTGTAAAGAACGCTGCTGAATTTTACTCATGTTCCTCTTTGCCTTATTCACAGATATTGATGAGTGTGCTGAAGGACGGCACTACTGTCGTGAGAATACCATGTGCGTAAATACACCAGGATCCTTTATGTGCATCTGCAAAACGGGATATATACGCATTGATGATTATTCATGTACAGGTAAGAGCTGTATATTTGTGAAAGGAAATAACAGGACGATGGTATTTAGGAGCATGATATGATTCTTCTAAAGTTAATCTTTGTTAGAGCCACAGAATGTCTACATGAAATGTTGAACAGAATAAACACCAAAATAATTACAAGGATACAGTGCAGAGAAGCTAGTGCATTTTACAGATTATGTGTGTGTTGTATCGTTTTACAACAATCGGGATTGTCTTACAGGTCTGCATGGCTTTGGGCACTGATAGAAAAGGTGAAGGGAGGAGGCTGAAGGGAAAAATCAGAGAGCAAAAATAGTGCTATGGGTTACTCGGTTTCTATGTGGCATATCAGTACGACTTCACTTGAAGTATGATGACTCTTCTGCAAACTTCTGATGGAGTTAAATTTGCTGCGTATTAAAAGTGGCTGTTTCCTCATTTTGAATTCTCCTGCACTGAGGAGGTCCCCCCGCTGAATCCTGATTTCAGAGGGCAGGAGCTCTGCCTGCCTTGAGCCACTGGACAACATGGTCAGTCTTATCTCTGTATCTTCCCTTTTTGCTCTACTGCCAGTGAGTGCTCTAGAGGAGGTGTTGGGTTCGTACTTTCTGTCTTCTAGTCTTCTTTTATTTCAAGGATTTTAGGGTTATGGAATGAACACTGAACATTTAAAACAGCCTTCTGTATCAGAGCCAGGCTGACTGTAAGTGTTCCTGGGAGGAATGTGTTTTTTCCTACTAAACAGATAAAGCAAATATGATTCAAAGATGTGGCACATTCTCTCAGTGAAGAAAAACATGTGTGAACAAAATAGTACCACTATTTTGTGTGCACAGGGGAACGCACTAGCTCTTTCTATAAGAGGATATATTTGTTCAGCAAAATTTTTTTGGAGTTCATATTATCTAACAGTAAAACTACCTATAAATGGATGAGAGTATTCAGAATATGGAGACAGCATTGTGAAATTAATTTCTAAATTTATTTAATTCTGTCCATTATGTGTTGGCATTTTTGCTCATCAATGATATGTCTTGGTACAGAAACAGCTTCTTCATAAACTGGCATAATTTGCTTGCCCAAACATGCACAGACTCAGGGACATGGATTTGAAACCACATACATGTGATTTTTGTGCGTACTGTCTTACCTGTACTTGACATTCCTCTCACATACGCTGGCAAGCACTATTTTACTGCAGTAAGCTCAGTTCTTGAAGGACCAAGTTATAGGCTGCTTGCAGCAGGTCCTTTCTGAAACAGCCAGCGTGTTTCTGATCACCCTCTCATGTTTCCACACTCTCAGCTGAGTAAAGCAATTGTTTCACTACTTACCGAATGTGAATGTTGGGATTATTTTAGGACTGACTTTATCTAAATCACTGTGATATTTTTCTGCTTTGCTTCCCTTAACTTGCTGTTCTGATTGAACTCTCAAAATGGTAAACTATCACAAACAACTTCACAGGGGCATTCGGTGCCTATAAATATAATAAAGGTATTTCTCGGTACTCTGCACATTGCATTCCTCATATTTGCTGAAATGTACAGTTGTGAAATTCAGTGTAGTTCAAGAGCTCTGGAGAGTCAAACAGGTGTAAAACTTGCTGGAAATCCATTACAGAGCTCACATTCCAAACTGAGTTTGGCTCCGCATTTGTAAATAATAGTTTCCTGTTAAATCAGCCTGATGCGTGACAAAATGAATGATTTCTTTTCCACCTTTCTCTTGATCGAGCTGGGAAAAGTTAATGCAAAAGGAAGCAAAGTAGATGAAATAGTTTTGTAAGATATCAAATCTTAGGACTCACGAGGCCAGATGAAGTGTAGGTCACGCAGTGACTTTCTGTATGTCTGAGCAGAGCCACTAGCTGTCATTTGGGACCTGGAGTTTTTCTGGAGTTAAATTCTAGTCCATTTTGGATACTGAGAGGCAACCACGAGGATGCAGTGCCTGTTGGGTGGTAGAATTTCCACGAATGGCAACCTAACATCATTAAGTGTATATGTCACAAAATAAGTGCATTTTTTTTCTGGTTCCACAACTAATGTGAGCACCTCTGGTGGAGGCACGGGTCAGTTACTGAAGTATGTAAACTTATGAGACTCTTGCATGACATTTCGACCAAACAACTAGTGAGTGAAAGGTTAATTATCTTTTAAAAATTGAAGGAAATACAGGATACATTTAAAGTCATGTGCTTTGATCAGTAAATGGCATTTTGTGCTTGTTTTAGTCTATATGAGTGACATTGAGAGCATTTACATTATAGCACTGTATTAAAGCAGGTGGCAAGTGTATATATTTGTACATGAGACTGCTCTAGGTTTTTCACCCCTCAGCATATTCATTGCTCTTTGCTGGTTTTGCCATCTATTAAAGCTCCTGATTTCGGAGACTTTCCTGTGCACCCATTTGCTCAGATATAAATCTAAGAGGTAAAGTGAACACAACTAGGGAGGCTGTGTTGCTGTGGCTTTAACATGGAGCCTATGGAAGTTTGAAACGACTAGATTGCTTAGCATTGTCTCTCCTGAAGAAACTTGCTGTGTTCTGAGAACCAGCAAAAGCTCGGTGTAGTAGAAACACTGACCTTGTTTACAGGACATTGCTGAAAGATGTGTATGTTAATAATAGATCAGTGCAAAATAACAGTGGGAAGGAGTTTACGATGCTAATGACAGTACTTTGCTGTCCTGTAGACAGACCAACAGGTTTAGTCTAGTCTGTTTTGCTTGGGTATAGCTGACTTTTCATAAGCATGATTTTCTCTTACAGCACACTGTCTTAAACACACTTGTCTTAAAGCAAGTAGTTAACAAGAAGAACTCATTATCCTTCCCTTTATTGTCTTTTTTTCATTTGTTTGTTTTTAATGTAAGTGGAGCCTTAATGACATTCAGCTAAACAAATGACATCTAGGACTTGAGAAGGAAAAGTATTTGCCAAATACGTTTTGTTTAGAGAATCAAGGCAGTAAAGTGTGTTAGGGATCTCAACCTGTCTCAGCCACCCTTGCATTTGCTCTATTTAAGTCCATCAGTTTAATATGCCTTTTATGACTGTAGAAAGCAGCAAGTAGAAATCTTTGCACTTTGAGAATCCAGATACCAACTTGTCCATGCCCAGCACACCTCACTGTGCATCACGAGCTCACGGCCCATTCACTGCAGCTGGGAATTATTTTGGTTAAGCTCAATTTTCTTGTCATGACGGTGCTAGTTCTTGAAGTTAAGGGCATAAACCAAACCTTTTTATCTGGCAGAAAAGCAGGATAGTAAGGAGAAAAGCAATCATGATAGACCAAAGAGACAGAGCTCTGCAAATTAAGGAGATATTTTTGAAAGGTTTTGTGAAGAGTACCCTATTTAACTTGGTGTATCCGTGAAAGTAAGGCTGTGCACTCTCCTTAAGAGAATTTTCTGGGTTTTCCGTATTTCTTTTTTGTCCTAATAATCAGATTTATTGTAGAAGCTGCACAGAATAGTTCATGTATTCCATAGTCTGTACAAAAACCTGGTGTTTACATCTGGCAAAAATGAAAAGTGGGAAAGAGGTCTGTAAAAGGAATGGTATTTTAAAACCAATTCAAACACTCATATGCAAAATACCGTTACATTCATACCATTGGATAGACTCTGTTTTATGTAATTCATGCAAAAAGTGGGCATTGTATGGCATAATTTCTGCATTGCTCCTTTCTTTTTTCCTTGAGATAGCTGGAGGCATCAGCTTTGATAGCATCAGTTCTCAGCTACTGCAGAAGGGTATTATAAAGATGCCTGTTGCCAACTACTCACGAGAGCCATGCTGCAGAAGCCTCACACAGACATCTCTTGTGCGCAAAAGCAATCCTGAGTATCTTAGGGGCAACTTGCTACTGCAAGCATACTAGAAAAACTACCAAAGGCCCAGGCTCCAGGACTTACATTGGTGCGGTTGTATAGTACGCAATTCTGTTCAAATCTCTCAGTACTCATCTACAGAGAGTCCGTCGCACTTTGGTTTTTGCCAATGTTTCAACTAAATTTATTCATTCAACCCTCTTTTGTCTTCTGCAGAATTTAAAGTTTTTGGCAAGTCTTTATTTGCCTCATTGGGTTTAACTTGCCGGCTAAAATATCAATGAAACTGAAGAGGAGGCAGATTTTTAATCCAGTTAAGGAATAACAAGAATAGGGCAAACAAGCGACAACTGACCCTGGGTGTTACAAAATGTTAAATTTTTAAAATATATTTCAGGTCACTCTGTTCCTTGTAATGCTGCGTAATCGAATCCAGTTGTGGAACCATAGCTGTGCATAAAATAGCTGACTTAACTGTAAGCTGGACCAGAAGCTCTGGTAGCACATCCTTGGGAATGTTACTAAGCAGGAAGAAAATGTTCTGTAGCTTGGCATTAATATGTCATTGTTTGCACAGGATAGCTGAAGCACAGGAAGGAGATGTTGAAAAACTATACTTGAACCTTGATTAGGTAGGTTATGATGTGAGTGATGTCCACGCAGCTTGCTGGCAGGCTAACGTAAAATGCCTTATTGTTCCATTCTATGCACACATATATAATTTAGCAGTCATTGATCAAAATAGAAGAGAGACATAAAATCAGTGACATTGAAGGGTTTTTCTCCTGTATGAGACATTTGAAAAGAAATCTGTGCTATCTATCTCTGTCAGAGTCCTGGGCACAAAAGACTGATTTAGACAGCATATAGCTGCTTCCAAAACAGCTCCAGTCTCTTTCTTCCTGGCATGTTTATTGCAAGTTTTACAATAGGTCTGAATTACATTTTGATTTTCACAACAAAGGATGTAATGAAGACATCAATTTCAGATTTTGTTATTTGTATTCATCTTGGAAGCAAGATTTGCAGGGTTAGATTGAGTCAGTCACAACCATATTTACACAGAAGTCTGTTGTTCGTGACTGATTTTATGTTCAGAAATCAATCATAGCTATGAGAAGAGGAGATGAGTCCTAAGCTGCACCCGTATTCCAAATGGGTGCACAAACTG